CATTTGGGGATTAAAATACAATAACACATCAATATAAAACAATTAGTATTGAGAATACATTCAGGTATAACCCTTATTACATAAGTGAAATTTAAGATATGTGGAAAAGTATGCAACAGGACTGGTTTGTTGTTATTTTTTGGAAGAGTTTGAACCATTCTCACTGGATTGTCAACTTAGCAATTGTTTTGAATCGATTTCACTAAACAGAAAATATAGATATTTTTCAATGCGAATAAAGAGTTGATTTTCGAAAACGTTTTCATCACAGATGTAACGTGCCCGCCGAGCTGAGTCCTACAAGGTCTAAAAATAATTGTCATTGATTTATATTAACGGAACTCAAAATACAAAACAACTCGTGCCTACGGCATTAAAAAACATTCTTAATCTCAATTAATGGAATCGTTCAATTATCATTATCTAGTGAGAAGTAATTAACACCAACTCAAGATGAGCTCAATAGCCTGGGATGCCAGGAAACAAATAAAATATCGAATTAACGAGAAATTTGTAACGTACGAATGAATTTTCTAAAACAGTTCATGCCAAATTCTCAATTTGAATTCTTAGAAGAAAAATAAATAATTTTGTTATTATTTCCATTCCCCATTAAGTTCACACTAGCTTATAATTAATATTTCCAAAATACACACGATTTTTCTCTTGATCTTGTTTGCCTCCCACAAGTACGCCAAATATCGATTTCCATTCCTCATAACAGCTATAAAAGTTTTATGGGTATGTGTGTGAAATGACTTTTCTAGTATAATAAGTTCTCCATTATGCGATTTGAAATACCAAAATAAAAATCACGTAAGCGTTAGTCCGCACGGTGATAAGAGTAACTTTTTCATTTAGATTTGATTTTCATCTTTCGTTTAAATAAAAACTGAACTATTAGCGCTCATTCACACGGGGAGCTTCACGTATCTCGCTCCCGAAAGAAAGGAAGGCTCTTAGCCCCGAAATGCTACGAGTCCAATGGAGCTTTCAAAAGAAGAGCCGCTACGTCTCAGGAGACGAGAGTTCTCACGTTTCCTGTACCGGGGAGCTGGGGAGCCACCTCTCCTCCTCAAAATGCAAAAGGATGGGCGGGGAATTCCACACGAGGAGTGAAAACGGCTCTCCCTTGTTGACGCTTCATGGCAGATTATGATGTTGACCTGTCATTAGTGTTGTCTCCAACCGACTCGCTCTTTGGGATAAAATCTCGACATGTATAAGGACCGAAATGGAGTCGTAAAAATTTTGCAATTTTTTTGCATATATTGAAAGTCCTTGTCGATCGAACCATCAGAATTCCTGAGCCACATATCTTTAAACCACAATTTCGCCATCTAAACTAAGCTTTAGAAATCATTGTGCTCACAGAAAAAAGAAATAGTTCAACTTCGATCACGATCCAGCTGCCAGTAGTAGGTTTACTATTTGCTTCACAAAAATAAAGTCACGGATCTCATTGAAAAACTGTTTAAATGACAAACAATAGGACCATTTTCGAACCAACTAATGTACAACGCAACGATATCGGATCGACCAAGGACAAAAAAGAGCATCTGACATTCGCCGGTATTTACAGGATTCTCTGTTTCCATGGCTCAGTTTATATCGGAACTACCAAACACAGAAATAAGGCCAGGATACAAGAACACAAGTGCAGCTACCGCCTCTTACAAGTGCATAATTTCCCAATTGCCGAAATAGACCACGTAATAAAATAGAAACTGCTGCCCTTTCTAGGGAGTCCATTGAAATATATAAGCATCCCTACAATTTCAACAGAAAAGGTATACAGATCAACAGAATGTGATTTCCAGTACTCCAGGAGGCAAAAAATGGATTACAATACAACTCCGATCCACATCCTACCAGCAGCATACATGTAAACAATGTGGATCAATTAAAACAGCCCAGCAAAAGTGTGGCCTGATCAGGAGTGTGCATTCGCATGGACACCCTACCACAGTATATGTATAAGTAAACACCAGTAAGTTCACTTTCCGCCATATTTGGGTCAAGATTCCCCATCTCGAATTTTATGCGCGGCCGAACTACAGCGCAACCGACTGAATCTGAGGCGCTTACCAAGCGAGCCGAATTGAGGCATGGAATATTATTACAGAGTGAGTCGTTGTTAGTGGTGGTTTTGTATTTGTGAAAAATTTGTGTCTAGTTTCAAAATGAGCAAGTGTCAAGCTGTGGGTTGCTGTTATTTGCAGGGTGATGTCGGCATTCATTTTTTCGATTTACAATTGACAAAAAAAGGTATGTTTTTCTATTATTTATTATGTAAGATTGAAATTATGAACATATAACGAAAATCATAAAATAAATTGTTATAGACCATATATAGTGAAGTCATCAATATGAAGACTTTTTATTATGAATTTAATTTGATGAAATTGAATTTTACGAATAGTATATGCCTTCAGTTCCACTGGAAATCTACAAAGGAAAATAATTGTTGAACCACATCAAGTTTTGATTTGTATCTGTAGGAAAACAATTACTTCCACTGAAATATTTGCAAAACTAAAGTATCAAATGTATATTCAAATAACCTTTTTTGGAGCCTACTTACTGTTGCATACTTTCTTACCAATTCATCCACATCAATACTGNAAAGTAGAGATAAATGATTATAGAACTCTAGCCACTCCAGAAGACCACAGCTTGGGCTATGTTTTTGGATATCTTTTGAGAAAATGTTTAAGAAAACATTCATGAGAAGTATGTACACATTTTGCCACGGCGGCTAGTACGACACTGAATGAAATAAATGTAGGTATACAGTCATTTCAAGACATATAGTAATACAGTAGCCAAACAGTTTGGAAGTTTATATATGCCTCATTTCATTTCATTCATTTTTCTTATAATGTATCATTCATTTTTATAATGTATCATTCATCTAGAGACAGATTTTCTTAATAATTTCAATAATTTATGTGCCACTGATTGTGATAATTTTCCTTTGGATTATTTATTTTCTCTTTTCACAAGAGTAAGAATTTATTATACTTTGAAATTGCCAATAGAAATTTGAAAACAAATGTTAAAAAAATCAAAAACAAATCATTCTGAAAAACCTTCAAAATATATTAGCATAAGTTTTTGACCTAAATTGTATAATCTTACTACATAAAATATACGTTTATTTCACCACCTTGTCTTATTTTTTATCATAGGCTAAACAATCATATGAGACATTTATTAGGAGCTCCTCGTAGCAATGATGAAGTCAGATCATGGTCACATATTTTTTGATCGAACTCCGTGCAGAAGTGCACAACAGCTCTTAGCCGACACCCTCTTGCCCCGTCACATGCCAGCAAAAAATTAAATCTCGGCCCGAAACATCAAAGACACCGACGGGAGTGAATTTACTTCTGTTTACTTATGTACGGTGACCCTACCAACACTATCACCATCCCAGCATTACCCACATCGCCATCCCCACCATCATCCTCATATACATACGAGATACGAGTAAACACGCAGTTCGCCAGTCAGTCATTGCTGAAACTTGAAGGTATAGCTTTCATCCCAGGAGTTAAGGCATATACCAATGATGATATCTGTCGCAATAGCAGACGAAAGCTTATGTTCTGATATATGTTTA